CCGACTCCTCCTTTACCCGGCCTGCATGGGATCAGAAAACCTGCACCGTGGTCCAGTCCTGCCTTTACACACCTCATCAAAGAACTCAAACCAGTGGAGAGAACTGGAAGAGGCAGAAGTTATGAGTCAAGCTCCTCCACTCTGACGTGGAGCAAAGCACTTTCGTGTTGGGCCACTCACTGTAGGGATCCAAACCTGAAATGTTCCACATGGATTCAACACAACTTACTGCGAGCCTTTGGCCTGCCCTTGGCACTCAACCATAGCAGAGCACAGGTTTAAAAATGCTGCAAGACCCAGGCAAAAGGCCTTTATCACAGAGTGAGGAGATGGCTGAGTGGGGATACTTCAGCATTACTTGGCGTCTCTACCTCTCCTGGGACCTGCCCTCAATTGCTAAAAGACCCTGACCCCTGACAAAGACCAATGATTTCAGCAGTAATTAATGATACTGTCAAATTAATTAACCCTAGTCTTTGTCCACAGGAAAACCCCTCTAATGTCGATACTGCTATTTGCTAGTCTTTTCACCAAGCTCTGCAGAACCAAACTTCAGGACACAGTGACACCAGCAACTGATGACCCTAATAAGGGCCCACCTATTAAACCCACCAACATTTGTTAATAAGCCTTCTCACAGTACCATATCCTTTGATAACACCATGTTAGTGAATTGACAGCTCTCCTCTATTTTAAATAGATATGACTGCAGAATACCAGTGTGCATCATTCATATTTCCTAGAATACTCTAGCTACCCTTTTAAATTATGATGAAACCCAATACAAATGCTGTAGGATTTCATTAAGCTATTTAATAAATGGCCCTCGTTAAAACACCAGTTCCCTAGTCTTTGTCTATAAGGACTTCAACTCATACGAATGCCCATGTATACATTTCCATAGTCTCTCTTTGGAGGATTCAGAACTATTTTCTTACACCTAGCACAGCTTTTATTCCATTTAGAATAATTACCCTCCATCTCATCTCTGACTTTCAAGAAAAACAAGACACTTAATTGACCACAGGAGAACTCTCTCAAGGGCATCAGGCTGCAAAAGCTCTTCTATGAGCTCACAACTTAAGCTGATGTAATCTGCTACAAGAAGCTGACTTCTATTTTTAAATTATACCCTTTTACTCTGTCTTCAAAGGGCACATATATCACACATTGTAACTGCTCATAAAATACATGGTGGCACAGTCTCCTGTCCACTCCTGGGGTGAATCAGACTGTGAAGGAGGGTCTCCCACCCACACATGGCTGCCCAGCCCTGCCGTTTTAAATTCACCCACCATTTCCTATTACTTGGTCTTTGGAAGAACAGCTAAATATGGCTACTCTCTCCAGGTGTCATGGTAATTTTGACAAGCAGGGGCCTTCTTGCGGGCTGGGATCAGGTCTTTTCACTTCCTTGTATTTCCATCCCTAAATATAGGCACTTAATAAATGCTTGTTAACATTGCTGCTGAGAGCTCTGTCATCAGGCCTATGTGCTTCAAAGGGTGTCAGATGAAAACAGATTATTTTCTTGGTTTAATTTTAAGTTTTTCATTCATCATTTCAGTCATGCTTACTCTGTTATTTAAAAAGCTTCTTAACATTTTGAAAAAAATGCCTCAGTTGGAGGTGAAAGGACATTTGATCCTGCTATTTATTTATATTTATTCTGATCATTTCTAGAAAGGATGAAGAGCTCTGTCATTAAAGCAGTGCTATCAGAGTCTGGCAGAGGACAGAACAGCACCTTTCTCTCTGTTCTACTTCCTCTTTATTCCACGGTCATCCCATGTCTCGTCTCGGTCTGCACGAAAACCTCCCAGCAGCTCTCCAGCTTCAAATCTTGGGTCATTCTAGTCCCTTCCCTCCACTAAAACCTAAGTGAATTAGTGCTATGACCCCCACTTCTCAACACCAGAGATGCCCTTCTGGGTTGACCCTACTCACCCAAGTGTGGGCACCCCAAACTCCCCACACCCACTTTGCTTTCTGTGCTCTGCTGAGAGGAACCTTTCAGGTCGTTGAAAGTGTTCAGTCTGTCTCCACCTAAATGCCTTTAAGTTGTATCCTTAGCCTGGAACTCTGCTCTGCTGTCCTTATTCCCTCCATCCAGCTCCATCTTGTCTAGATGCTACTTCCCAAAAAGTCCTTGCCAGATCCTCCAGTGGCACCCTGTGCCAGCTGAGGCCACCGTTCACCACAGTGTGAGGTGTTTACCTGCCCGAAGCCCAAGTGACTGAAGTGTCTGCTTGTTCACGTGGCCTGGCGTGCAGCCGGGCTCTGATATTATCTGCTGGGTGAATGAATAAATGAATGAAAGCACACCCAGTATTGCAATTGGGGATCATATTTGTGAGGCATGAATGAGAATTTTGTCTCCTTGGAAAGTGGGAACTCTACAGAATTTATAGCAATCTGTTACTTCCATTCAGGATTGGCACCTTGAAAGGCAGAGGCATCAGCTGCCTCTGAAGAGAATGAAATTCCCCTGCTGAGGAGCCACCTGACCTGAAGCTGGACTGCTTTCCCAGAGGACTCAGAAATGCATTTTGTTATCACCTTCCTGAGAGATAAATGGAGACTGTTTAAATGGAATCCCATTGGGACAAAACATTAAAGCTCATTCAAAGTTAAATTTCTCATTGCCAACTCTAAGTAAACAGCAAACTCTACAATTAAAATTTGTCCCAAAGGACACAAACTATATATTAATAATGCTACTTCTTACCTGCAAAACCACATCCAACTTTCAAAACATGCTGTGGTAGGAAGGCACTAGAGGTTTGATGGAACACGGGCTGCTGGCACTTTACACTCACTGGCTGGAATCTGGCTACACAAGGGGACAGCTACACTTGGGGCCAGGTGCTGGAATGGCCCTGGGGTTATACAGGGAACAGAACCACTCCAATCCCTGGTCTCAAGAAGAGCCCAATCAAACAAATAAACACTTGAATAGAGACTTCTTTAAAAAAAAAAATTGCCCCCTAAATTTTGAGTAGGCCATGTTCGGATATTAAATTAAATCTAGCACCATGGGATTGTGGGTAAGGCACTACTTCAGCTACTTCGGCATGGCAAAGGACTTTTTTTAAACCATATTTTCCAAAATCAACAGATTGATGACACAGAAGAATGGGTAATATTTCAACATTCAAACCAAATGATGAAAGACTTGGATTTTATTTCATCCTTAACGCAGTTAGTAACCACCCTCTCCAAAACAAAACCAAATAAACACAATTCCACATGAAAGTCTCCTGCCTTCCAGGATAATTGTGTTTATTTTTATTACCTGGCATACAGAAAGAGCCCAATAAATGTTTGGTGAATGTATTACAGGAGAGGTATTACTATGAAGATAACTATTTCAGCTATGTTCTTCAACTTCTTTTTTTCTCATAGGGAAAAATTATGCATATTTTCTAGGATTCTGACTTTTACTGCTCTGTCTGACCTTGAGCCTTGGGTGAGTTATGTAACATAGGTGCCATTTTTTTCATCTGTAAAATCAAAGCTGCAGCTTAGTTATTGTGAGACTTAAAGGTGGCAGTAAAGCAACTAGCTCTATGCCCTCTAGATAATCTTGAGGATTTTTTCCTTTTCCTTTCTTTAACCTCTACTTGATCCCCTTTACAACCTTCAAATAATGTGCCAAACAAATCAAATTACTGACTTAATTAGAAAGTCAGGAAACTTCAAATGTAGCCTGGGTTCACCAACATCTAGCTATCAACCCTTGAAAAGTCTTATTTATTATTTAGAGGTTGTGTTCTTCTCTTTTCTAGAAAGAGTGAGTTTCACCTAATATTCATTAGGGGAATATTCAGTTCTAGATTTATATGAACTCAGAAATCTGCCTTACTGAGAAGTTACATGTGGCTAACACATTAAGGACATAGGACATGTATGATCAGAAATAAAATAAATTCTGATTCCCTTTAGAGGGAGATTTTCTAAATTATAATAAACAAGTTATAACTTGACTTTTAAAAAAAATGTCAATCTAATATCTAGGTCAAGAATTGGTGACCCTAATTTTAAGCAACAGAAGGTTCCCTCTTTCTCCACAGTCCCCATCCCACACACCTCCAGTGGGACTTCTCATTCACAGCTCTGCAATGATGTATTTAAAGGAAAATCTAGGGATTTTAAGCAATATCACTAATTAAATATAGATTATTTTGAAATGAGTAAAAACAGTTGACACAATATTATGTCAAACCTAACATTTGCTTCATTTTTTTTCCTTTCACACCCTGAAATACATCCAAGCCAACCAAACAAAGAACTACCAACACTGAACACAACAAAAATCTCGCTGTATTTTCATAAACACTAAGTGTGTGAATGCCACCTAGTGGTGGAATGTATCCTTGACAAAATTGCCAAGTAAGTACATTGACACAAGCTAATTAAAAAACCAATGGAACATTACTTCTATCCTGCTCCCAGTTATTCCAAGGGAATATGAGCGCATACCCACCTCCTCAGCTATTTTCCTCAAACTTCTGATGCAATCTATTGCAGATAGAGTCAATGCCACATTATTCAATTCTACAACAAAACCCTACTGCTTCTGAACACCTCACAAAACAAAGGAGCATTATTATTCTATTCATTTTAATATTCAGTAAAAATTCAAAAACTTCCCCAATACTTTGTTTTCATCTTCCAGTCTCACTTGATCTAGCCTAGATTTTTAGTTATGCATGAAAAAGCATTAACAGTGACAACTTTACAAAAATGCATATTATATGAAAATCTGACTTCAATTAGAACCAGTTGCTAAGTCCCAGCAATTTCCAGCTGTCTCTATCCTATCCTTAGAGAATTATATATCACATTAATTGGTATTCTGCCACATAAAAAGACACCAGTGATGATTAATTGCATCCTCAGTGCTTTTGAATTATGTCTTCTTCACTAGAGAGATCCAAATCACACCTCATTACCTTCCAGCAGGTACCCCCTCCAGTAACCCTCATAAAATCTCCTACCTTCCTAAACTTCTCCATTTGCTTGTAGAGGTCTGGATCAAGCTCCTGTGACACATCCTTCATCCATAATAATGCCCCTCTGTATTCAGTCCGGCACTGTTCCATGCGGTTCACCGTCAGCCAGGTGTCAGAGATGGCCCGATGCCGAAAAGTCTCCACTTCTTGGTGAAATCGACACAAAGGATTGCGCAAGGCCAATCTAGATAAGAGGATAAAGCCATCACCTCGAAACTAAGCAGACCAGCAATTTGAATTCTTGACAGTTTACCAGTCTTAAACTCATGAACCCAGAAGAGTGCCTGGAATATAGACGATGCAGCAGAAACATATGACAAATTATAATTGCAATGCCTGTGAACTGAGGAGTCCACTGAAATGATGACCTATCCCGCGTACTACTCCTATAGACTACTGTTGCGTAGCTGCACCTTTGGGAAATATCTCTAGCAGTGTTGCTGAAGGTAGCCTCACACCTAGGCAAAGATGACTTGTTTAAAGCTGGAACCAATTCTGTATTTGTGGAGGGAGGGCAGGGCATAGTCACTCTCCACTTCCCACCTAGCCCACTTTCTACTCTTCACCTACCCACCCTCTGATCATGTGAAGTCTGATCCATAGAGGAGGGACAGAAGTGTGCATTACTGGAGTCTCTCTTGGATTACTCCCCAAAGGCCAGGGCATCTGCTGCTCTTACTCCAATAGTCATAGAGATGAAGCATAAACATAAATGTTTTTAAATGGCCTAGGAAAGGGGATAAATATATTTATTGAAGGTCTACTGTGTTAGGCAATTTCAGGTAAGTCATATATTTTGTTTCTTATTAAAAAAATAAATCTTGGGCCTCCCTGTTGGCCTAGAGGTTAAGACTCAGTGCTATCACTCCCACAGCCTGAGTTGGATCACCCCGGCAGGGAGCTGACCCACATGGCACAGCAGATATCTCCTGTCTCACCTGCTGCTCCCCTCAGGAGTGTATTTCAGTAGATCTGCATGTTCTGCTCCCCACTCTGTCTCTGGTGGATCCTCTCATCCCCCCCGCTACCCCGCACCTCTGGCCTACACCCCAGTTCTTTTACATAGAAATAAAAAAATTAAAATTAAACCTTTAAAATTAAATGCAAACTTGGTTAGCTGAAGGGAATGATGATGTCAGGGAGCTAAGGTCAGCTCTTAGACTTCCACCCATGTCTGCAAAGCCTTACCTCTGGATAGCCCTGTTAAGACTGCAGTTGGAACAAATAACTGGTCAAGAAAAAAAAAAAAATCCCCTTTACTATTTTTCCCTAGCTTTCTCTCATCTGTAAAGCACTGTCTTTGAATATTCAGTTCTTCTCTAAATATAACTTGCTAACATCATAATACCAACATGTTGCAGGGTGTTTTCAAGACTGTATTGTGTGCCATACGGTAAGCTTGTGTTTTATCACCATTGGTTTAAATTGAATACTAACCTTTCCTCAAAGTGAAGGAGCAGTTGTAGCAATGACTACCAAACAAGGCAGTAAAATAAATGCTGGTATGAAGGTTTATAAAACTGAAGACTTCTATTTAAAGAGAGAGAGAGTCCTCAGCTATCTCCCTACGTAATCCTGTTCATTTCTGGAATTCCTTTTCCCTTCCCTTGGATTTTGACAATTTTCCTAAACTGGCTGAAAAAGAATTATGTGATAAAATGTTCTTGATTTTTTGTTGGAAAGTTGGACAGAAACCTTTGAAAAAGTAATGAAATGATGGCAGATGTCAAGACCTTGAAGAAAAAGAAAAGGCATATAACAGTACCTCATTTTTTCCTGTAACATGTTTCATGTATAATTAGAAAGGCGAGAATGTGCAAGTCCTCAAGATTAGTTCTACCAAGCTAGTTTATGCTACTCTATACAGCTATTCTGGGCATTTATCATATTGTTCCTTTTTACTATATTAGTGATATTTTAAGTATTATGAGTTACTTGATATAATTCGGTAGGTTGTATTTAGGGTCTGGAAATGATAAAAATATAAATTGATGGCAAACGCAGAATTCTGCACTTGACATCATTTTGGCTGCCAAAAGTCTTCACAGAAACACTCAGTTTTTGGATAGCAGGGGAACCTATACATATATGAGTATAATTTGATTCCTTTCCTCTGGAGAGAAACACTAAGTAATTGTTGTAAAATATTATTATTTAGAAACATTGTCATATATTTTGCTTATCTAATCCTGATAAACTCACCTATGAAGCATAAAATAACCAGAAAGGTGAAACCTGTTCATTTGTAGACAGGGACTGGGGGTAGTCTGAAGAAAAAATTCAATAAACTGTAAACATCAAGATTCAGTGAAAGAGCGACCCACATTTTCATTCACAAAAATCTGCACAGTAAGAATAGTCAGTAAAGTGTGGCAAGGTCTACTCCAAAGACATTTTACCCTTTGCAGGAAAAGGGACTCAAGTATTGGATAGAAGTATCAGGTTAAATGCAGCATCATACCTATATGATGGAATGACATGCTCTGGGTGTTCGAAAACATGTATACACGGACACAAAAAAGTGTTAGTTATTTACTCAAAATATCAATTTGCTAAATAAATAAATAAATAAATAGTTTGCAATACTATTAAAAAATCATGTGGTAAGATGCTGTTTATATTTAAAATATATTCTGTCATACCCCAAGTTATGTCCATTTGAGATATGAAAATTCAGATTTGTGAGGCTTTTTTTTTTTTAAGATTTATTTATTTATACAAGCACTGGGTACAGTCAGAAGCGTGGGTGGGTGAGAGAATTCACCAGAGCCAGAGCAGGGAGAACAGGCAGACTGACGAAATATACTGCTGAGGGGAGCAGCGGGCACGGCAGGAGAGGTCTGTGTACTCTGTTGGACCCTCGTCGGTGGCCGGGTATCGAACCGGCACTGCAGAGGCTGTGGGCAGCTTCGCAGCCCAGCGCTCAACCTCTGCGCCACCGGGGAGGCCCTTTGTGAGGGTTTTATGTAATCTTCTTACTGTCTTCATCGACTGACTTGGATTTCATATACCTGGAGAAGATGAATACCACAACACCAGTGCTACCTGCAAGAGGTGGGCTGCCTACTAGCCAAACTGGGCAAACAGCATTAAATTATGAATAGAGGGCACTTGGCTAGTTTATATAGTGGTACTTTCAGGTGTCATTTGCATAACTTTTATTGATTCATTTGGCTGTTTTTGCTTGTATCCAAGGGTTATATTATACAAATTCAAGGAGTCACGTATATTCTCTGTGTGACAACTTGGTACACAACTCTAAAAGGAAACTCTGAATAGTCATATTATAAAATAATTATGAGATCAATCATGGCAACGCCTGTGATTGTGTCCAGGAATTTGACTCTCCCTTATATTAATGTTAATTTTGTCAAAAAGATATGTGCAAGAATTATTCCAGTTGAGACTAGTGATAACTACATGATGAGAAATTACGAAAGATTTTTCAAGAATCAATATTCCTTGCAAGGATGGAGGAAGTGTATGGGGTAGAGGGTGGGGCATCTCTGTTAGTAAAATTGTAGTTGTCTTTTTATTGCATTCTTTTGGTTATCTTTGTTTTTAAATTTTTCCAGAATGAGTATGAATTATTTTTATAATGAAAAAATAATAAATAAGATTGAAAGGTGCAATTCTTATTATGCAAAATGCCTTTCTTGAAGCACTGGGGTAGAAAACTACTGGAAAAGGTTTCATGCAACTATGAAAGTTGTCATTGCCCACAAAATCAGGTCCAAATGGCATGAGGCAAAAGCAAAAACACTCAAGAGGGTCCTCCCTGGTGGCACAGGGGTTAAAGTCTCAGCACTATCAAGGTATCGCCAGCCACTGGGGCACGAGTTCGATCCTCTGCAAGGGAGCTGACCCACATGGCACAGCAGACCTCTCTTGCCGCGACCACTTCTCCTCTCAGCAGTGTATTTCAGAAATCCACCTGTTCTGCTCCCCACTCTGTCTCTGGTGAATCTTCTCACCACCTGCACCTCTGGCCTACACCCTAGTTCCTGTATACATAAAGAAAGAAAACATTAAAAAAAAAAAAAAACCTCCAGCGTCAGTGGGACCACTGAAAATGGACAGAGTTGGCCTCTTTTCTTCATCTTTTTTGGATTTTCACAGGAACTCTTGTGTAATACGCTGACAGTAGGTCAGTTCTAGGCCCACAGGGAGAACAGGAAAGAGAAATTAACAGGAGAAGAAATGCTGGATCATTTGAGTAAGTGAAGTTTTTGTAGCCTGCATATTTTTAGAAGCTACCTATAAGTCTTACTTAGGTATGACCCTACCTAAGATGAGGGACTGACATTTTAGAAGACTTGTTAGTTACTGGGAGAAAAGTGTCACTTTCTCAGACACAAAGTGCAACTGCACGCAGGGACTCCTGCATATTCTGCACCAACTGTAAAAATGAGTCATGGCAGTGTTAAAATGTCACTGACGTACAACAATAATCTCTGCACCACAGCTTTCCCCATTTGAATGTGCATCAGATCAACTGGGGATCTCGTTAGAATGCAGATTTGATTCAGCAGTTCTGGGGTAAAGCCTAGATTCTGCATTTTCAACAAGTTCCCAGGTGACATTACTGATGTGGCTGGGCTGGTCCAGGGTCTGAGCAGAATGGGACAGGGCACGAACACCACCTCTGGAGTTAATTGGCCCTCAGGGAGCAGAGAGGGACCCTTGCACCTGGTGTCATTAGGCTCCTGCTTTAATCAGCTGCTGAAAGAGGACCAGTCTGATTGGTACGAGCAGCACTGAAGGTCAAATACATGTCTAGGAGAACACTCAGAGTGATTGGCAGATACAATGCCCCTACAGACCCAAAGAAATATGAAAAAAAAATTTAAAGAATAATAGGAAAATATTCACCATGTTATTTTAATCAGAAAGTTAAGTACAAATAGGTTAACATCTGAGGACAGAGTAGCTCCTCGGTCTCAGACAAGAGCTCTCTAAGGAACATCAGCGATTCCCCTTCATAAGCGAGTAGGTCCCAAATTCTCTGCAGATCCCCCTAGAGAGCCCCAATAAAGGCCACACACCTTTGCTGGGAAGAAAAGCAGAGGGCCTTTCCTGTCGCTTGCATCATTTTTCCTGCTCTGGTTTTATCTTGGAAGCCTTGTGATCGAAGGAATTTTCCCAGTTCATTCTCTTCTTGAGACAAGACTGTTGAAGAAAAGACCAACGGAGCCATGAACAATGAGGATGTTTATTACAGAGAGGAGAGAGACAATCACAAAGTCCTCTCTCTTCCTAAGACAGGATGAGATGAAATTAAATCCAAGTGGCAGGCTACGAGGCAAACTCCCCGTTAACCCCCATTTATCTTTTATACTCTTCGTCCATTTACAAAACGAGAGATCAAATTCACTTGAGTACATCTGTCAGGGCATTTGGTGCCCTGTAATCAGAACCAGAAAGTGACCTCTGTACTGAAAAGCGAGCTGATAATGTGGGCCTCAAAGTTGAAATAAAAAAAGTGGGATTTGTCGAGTATGACTGTGGGAATCTTTTGTGGCTGCCTAGAGTGCAGGGCCAGTTTCCCCCTATTATTCTCTCTTGCTGACTTTTGATCTCTGCTTTCTGAGTTACATTCTACTTGATTGTAAAGCATTTCAAATACCTTATCCATGAATGACATCGGTATTTGGCTGAACGTTGTAGTTGAATGTGGGTAGTGCATGAAGTTGATGACCTGACAGATTTCTAACATGCAGAGTTGGAACCAAATGGAATTGTTTATGGCTAATCTTGACCTTAGTTCTCAAGACAATCTAAGTTGGCACTATTGGTGAGATAGTGACTGGTACAAGTTTTCTACAGACTGATTTGACAGTAAATATATAAAGTCCTAGAACTTTTGACACTACATTTCTGTTCGGAGTATATCCTAAGGAAGTAATAAAATGTGCACAGAGATGTATATACAAAGGTAATCATAGCATCTATATTTGTAGTAGCAAAACACACTCCTTGTCTAGAGTGGGGCCTGAATTGTAAAATACAGTGCCATTCAAACAATGGAATGGGCTGTTATGCAGTCACTGGTCTTAAAAATATATTCACCAACAGCTAAGCCATAGGCAAGGAGTGACACAGAGCTTCCTAGAATGTATTTTTTTTTCCCTCTAAACATTGCATTTACAATGGACATACTTTAAACATTACTTCATTTCATATTTTGGTACTGATGCACTTACACATCTCATGTCTCTAAAAATGCAATTCAAATGCTACTAGGATTCTTGTTCATTTTCATGAATAATCCAGACTTCTTCCAGAATGTACCCCACTCCTGATACAACCTCCCCTATGATAGCTGTAGGAACCACGCATCCAAAGCTGAAGGTTAAACCTACTACTGCTTCCTTATTCCACTGTGACTGCAGTTTCAAGCTAAACAGTCTAGTGGAGAAAAGACTTGGAGGATCCATTCCTCCTGAGAATTAAATGACCACACTCTCTTTCCTCTTCTGTCTCTCAAAGTCAAGTTCATTGATCAAAGTCCAGCTCAAAAGCTACTTCCTCTGTGAAGCAGTTGACCTCTATTTCCCTACAACCACGTGCCTTCTTGGCATCTGGTATTAGAGTGAGCCTGGATGGGCCTGTGTCTATCTTTCCCGTGAGACTCTGAGCTTTCTCAGGATGGGGCCTCATCCAAACTGTAGATTCCCCCAGCTGAGTATAAAGTCCTATTCAGAGTACTAATTAAATGCTTGTGAAATTGAATTAACTATAATCTTTGCTTTGTTATCCACATATACTATATTTCAATTTAAATGCTTATTTGATATTTATGACATAGTCCTTTGCAGCTTTTAAAAATTCCTGTAATTATAAGTCCTTTTGTTTCTTAATACCTTGCATCCCTTTCCTCTCCACTTACTAACATGGGACTCACTTAATTCCACGATGATTTGTTTCTCTGTAGAGACCAATTTCACCTTTTAGTACATAATAGTATGAAGCTACTGTCCACTTTTTAAACTTGAAACCTCAAGTCACATACAGATGAACAAATTTAGCTTATGGGTAGGAAGAAACCAATTCTTGGTACCTGGGTAATTACATGGTTGGTGAAATGTACTCTTTCCTAAATAAACCTGAATGGGCTGAGGCATTTGAAAAAACATTTCTGGTTATTTTATGGACTTGAAGATTAAATTTGGGACGGTAAACAGGTTTTATTTTAAAAGCTGGTCTCTGCTTAATTGGTAGTACTACTTAGAGGGTGGTGGGAAAATCTTGAGCTGATCGGGCTGGAGTTTTTGACTACTTTCAGACAACTATCATTTTCTGAGAAGAAATAGTCATTTCTTAATTTTAATTTTAAAATTCAAGTACTGAAATCAATTTATAGAAGTCTAAAATTCAAATGCAACATAAGTAAAGTATCTACTTAAAAGGTGTCACTAAACTGGGACTTAAGAATTCAAAGACATAAAAACCAATTCATATTTAATCATCAGTTAGAGTTTCATATGTGCTGTAAAAAGGCAACTAAAGAACTATAAAACAGCTTGGCACATTAATCTGCTCAGTATAGATTTATGACCTAATATATACTAGGCACTGTTCTGGCTGCTGGGAATACAGAGATGAACAAGACATATAAGGTCCCTGCTCTAAAGAAGCTACGTTCAAGTGGCAGGAGACAGGAAATAAAAAACATGCAATCACAAACTCAAAACACAAAAAGCAAAAGACAAGATAGAGCAATTTAGAGGAGAAAAGGAGAGAATAACTACTAGCTGCTTTGGGTAGTCAGGGAAAGTACCTCAGAGCAGGTGGCCCATATACTCAGATGGGCTCTGAATGACAAGGGGAGCCCTTCTTGAGATGGTTTTGTCCAAGACATTCCAAATAGAGGAAACACTGAGTATAAAAGCCTCAGATCACAAGATGGTTAAGGGCAAAAATGGAGAGGTGAGCTGGACCAGATCAAGTAGGAATTTTTAAACCAGGTTATGGAAATTGAGATTTTTAAATACTACTGGAGGTTTTTCAGCAGAGAGGCAATATCCATTGTATATTTATTTAAACTTTTTATTTTGATATAATTTTAGACTTATAAAAATTGTAAGCAGAACAAAGTTGACATACACTTCTTTAACTATCCCTAACTTAATATTGTACCAATGTTAATTTCCTAGTTTTGATAATTGTGCCATAGTTATGTAAGATGTTAACATTAAGTAAGCTACCACCTTCTTTGAATTTTCTGCTCCATTTCCAACCCATGATCCCGCATGGCATTGAGTTATCCAGTGTCCTTCAATAGAAACTTCAAGAAAGTTCCTCAGTCTTTCTTGACTTTCATGGCCTTGACTTTTAAGAATATTGGTCAGGTATTTTGTAAAATGTCCCTTGGTTTGGGTTTGTCTATTTTCTCATGATTAGACCGAGGATACATTTGTAGGCAGGAAACCACAGTACTTGGTGTCAGAGCTACCTGGGCTTCTCCACTATAAAGTAATGTTTCTTTTGTAATTAGTAAGATCTTAAAGGGAAATGCATGTGCCTGAGCAAATATCCAGTTTATCCTCAAACTTTTGTTTACTTATTGTAAGATCCTTCAGTGAATCTTTTTTTTTTTTAAAGATTTATTTATTTATGGGTGAAAGTAGTGTCTCCTGGGCTTCTCCACTGTAAAGTAATGTTTCTTTTATAATTAGTAAGATCTTTTTTTTTTTTTATTTTATTTTATTTTTTTTTTTTATAGAGGCATGCTTTATTTATTTGTTTGCTGGTTTGTTTGTTTTGTTTTTATACATGCACTGGGTACAGTCAGAAGTGCGGGAGGGCGAGAGAATTCACCAGAGCCAGAGCGGGGAGCAGAGCAGGCAGAAGAACCGAAGTACACTGCTGAGGGGAGCAGCGGGCGGCAGGAGAGGTCTGCGCGCCATGTGGGACCCTCCTCTGGTGGCCGGGGAGCAGCCGGGGATCGAACCGGCGCCGCAGAGGCCGCGCGCAGCTTCGCAACCCAGCGCTCAACCGCTGCGCCACCGGGGAGGCCCAATTAGTAAGATCTTAAAGAGAAAAGCATGTGCCTGTGCAAATATCCAGTTTATCCTGTAAATAAGAGCCGGGGCACAGGCCAGAGGTGTGGGGGTTGAGAGGATTCACCAGAGACAGAGTGGGGAACAGAACAGGCAGACTGACTGAAATACACTGCTGAGGGGAGCAGCGGGCGAGACAGGAGAGGTCTGCTGCGCCATGTGGGTTGCTCCCTGGCCGCCCGGGGATTGAACTCCTGCTGCAGTCGCTGTGGACAGCTTCATAGGTTGCATCTTAACCAACTGTGCTACCAGGGAGGCCCCTCTTTCAGTGAATCTTATCTGTGACAATCTTGCTATGGTATTTGCCTAGTGGCGATTTTGTAGTTCCTTCATTCTTTTTTTTTTTCTAACTCCCCCACGTACTTTATTTATACCCCTATAATGAAATTTATTTTTTCTTTTTTAATATTTTATTTTATATAATTGGTACATCATTTTTCATTTTTGCACAATGTATGCATTTTAATTTTGGTTATGTTCCCCATACAATTGCACCCCCCCTTATTTTGACCCTAATCCTTCCTCTCCCCGTCTCTCCCTCCCATAGTGTGTCTCTGGTTTATAGTTGCTTGTTGATTTTGATTTTTACTTTGTATTAATTAGTCTTTTTCCTGGTGCCTTATTTAGGTTTTCTAAATTCTTGCTATGAGTGAGACCATCTGGTATTTTTCTTTTTCTTTCTGACTTATTTCACTGAGCATGATCCCTTCTAGCTCCATCCATGTTGCTGCAAACTGCATGTGCATATCTTTTTTGATTGCTGAGTAATATTCCTTCATTCTTTATATATGAATTGGAATTGTTTTACAAGAAAGAGCTGTCCCTGAACAAAGTATACAGGTTTCTAAAAATATTAAAAAGAGATATTCCATGATCCAGCAATTCCATTCCTTGGTATCTACCCAAAGAATTTAAAAAAAATAATTATGAGGGGATAATTGCACTCCTATGCTCACTGAAGCACTATTTACAATAACCAAGTTAAGGAAACAACCTAAGTGCCCAAAGACAGATGAATGGATAAAGAAAATGTCCATACTTTATCTTACCTTTACATATATATATATATATATATATATATATATATACACACACACACACACATCTATACCTGTATCTGTATCAACTATTAAAAAAAATGAAATTTTTCCAGTCGGGACAGCATGGATGGAACTGGAGGGGATAATGCTAGGCAAAATAAGTCAGAAAGAAAGATGAATACCAGATGATTTCATTCATATGTGGACTATACAGAAACAAAGCAAAGGAACAGACAAAATCAAACCAAACCAAACCCTGAAATGTGACTGCAAAATTGAGGCTACTAGAGGAGGTGGGTGGAGGATGGGGAGCAAAGACAAGCAGGAGCCCAGTAGTCCATGAGGGAGGGTTATGAGTGCTTTGGTGGTGAGCACGGTATGCTAACGATTAAAGAGGTATGACCACATATCCCTAAATTAAGATATATGCAGTACTGTAAGCCAACATAACCTATGTATAAGTAAAAGTGCTATTCTATTTTCCTCATTTTGCTTATTTTCATATAGATTTAAAGGATATTTATTTTATGGGACAATTGATAAACAGTCCCAGTTTGACCATCAGGAACACTGGGAGAGCCTCCTGTGATCTAAATTAAGATCCACTGAAAAATGATTTCCTCCAGATGACTGAAATAGTAGCTATACATACATATATATATGTTATATACTTATATATATCAAATATAAGAAGTGTTCATGAGAAGCATGATCAACAGAATATAGCCAATGATTTAAACATGTGCCTCTCTCTATTTGATCATTTTAAAAGGAACAAACTGAGAGGCAAGGAAAACAAATAAAAACAACCCAAAATTTAAAAATCTAAGATAGAAAACTTTTTCATAATTTGAAAAATAAATGGCACCTATTTATGCATGGGTAGCCCAATGCAAATTTCTTCTATTGTGGTTTCTGCATTGCAAGATAAGCAGTTTACTGAAGTTGGGTGTGGCGTGGTTGCAACACCTGAAGGGGGTGAGTAGGTACTAAAATCATATACAACATTTTATTGATACCGCAATAAAAATTAATGAAAGAAAAAATTATTAGGTACTCTTTTCCCCATCACTTATGAGTAAAGACAGACCCCTCTTAATAGTTTCCTCATCTTTCTGAATATATGAAATGATAAATTAAGGCAAAGTACCCTATTTCTTGCTGTCTTTATCTGATCAATATTCATACTTAGGGCATACTTACAACATATTCTCTTTTGATAGAGTACAATTGCTTTAGACAAGTCCAAACAGGTTCTCTGAATCGAGTGAAACAGCTATAATAAAAATACAAACAAAATGCTAAATAAAATGACAGCAGTAAAATAAAGGAAAAATTACATTGAACATAGCCATAATGTTTGAACTGCCCACTAAAAACAATTCATAAGCTAAGTGTGCTTGTTAGGTGGTATACTTGTGATCAAAGACTTTAAATATCCTCTTATTATTTTATATTTATTGGAATTCATCATTTCTGTGATCTAAATTAAGATTCACCAAAAAATGATTTCCTCCAGATGACTGAAATAGTTGCTAGAAAACAGAAATCCTAAGTGAAGGGCTCAATTAGAGGAACTGGTAAACCAGAGACCCAATATTCATTCATAATCTAATTTATTTCTTTTACCACTTTCTGTCTTTTTTCTTTTAATGGGGGAATCTGTCAATTAAGGGTAATATTTAAAACACAACATTAGCTTATTTTGCAATCCTAATGCATTTTATGGCATGCTTAAGCAACTCAATAAAAAGCAAACAAAATTCAATTTGTTGAATGTTCTGTCTGTGTAGAAGACATCTGGTCAAATGAAGTTTTTCTAGCAGCCCCTATTACTTCTTATTTTCCCAATGATCTCACAAAACATACAGAGAGAAATCCTAATGTTTTCCTATGACCATAATAGAGGAAATTATTGGAAAAGCAAGTGGGCTGTACTGCGAAGAAACTAACCAGATTTTAACTCATAATGGTCCAGGTTCTGCTGCAGAAACCAACACAGCTCAGGAAAACACAGAACAGTATTTCACACTTTCTTCACCCACTGTTCACCAGCTCAATCAGAGTTGGTATCAGCTAAAAACTTGACCAGCTTCCTGCAGCTAAAGAACCCCAACAAGGCAGGAGAAGGTCTGCCCTCTCCCTGTCTCCTAGTTGACTGGCCATGGTGATGGAAAAATTGTGTCTGGGTTTTATAAAGCACGTCGCTGTTTAAGTCAAAATATAATTTGTTTCATAATAAATATGACCAAATTATCTAATAAACATGGATACATATAATATATCCTTAACATTCTTAAATGATAAAACTTGGCCATGAATATATAAATTTTGCTATTTCTCACTTCATCACACTGTATCCTCTACAGATAATATCAAAAGAAAAATAGAAAGGAAAAAAAAAAACACACCATAAAACACAATTGAAAATCAGCTGTCTAAATCTGATCTTAGAAAATGCTTAATATCAGTATTCTGGATCACAGACCACCACCATATAGTGATTCCTGAATTCAGGAACAAGGAACTTCAAAATGTATGTTCAGGAGCTATGCTGTTGTTGCTGTTCAAACAATAAAGAATAACTGTTAGATTGAAAATTGGGGTGGTTACCAGGGCAGGTGGAGAGGGGTCTGTTGGGGGAGCATGTGGCACATCCTAGGGTGAAGCTGTACCCCCCAAATTACATAGCTTTATAAACAAATTACAAATCAATAAAATTAAATTTAAAATAATGATAAAACCAAGGTATAAAGAAGGTATAAGCTAATAGCAATAAACTGTCCAGTTCTGGTAGTTTGGACAAGGCATTCATTCTTGTGACCACACCCAAAATAAGAGAAACATTTCTATCATCTATTTGGCCTATTCTCTGTGGTAACCACTAAAAGACTTCTGTCACCACAGGATAGTTTTGTGTGCTTTGTACTTATGAACTGATTTTGAGAAAATGATATTATGAATAAGCCATCATATCATTATTTAATATTATTTAAACATAATGCAACATTTCTATACCAACTATCCAACAGATTGTAACAGAATCTGATCAATATTATTGCTTTAGACACCAGCCTTGTGTATCAGCAAAATAAAAATTCTTGTTTCTAAGTTAGCCTACTATGGTTAACTTAGTGTTAAAAAACACATCAAAATGGTTTACATAACGCTTTACATGTTTTATTGATGGAATCATTCTCTCTGTAAACATCAAATTCAGTATTAACATTTTCTGTACAGAAAGCCCTAATGTGTTAATTATTAGTCACAGCTTAGTACTTCAGAAACGATGTGCCTAGGACAGCAGCTATGTTAATTCAAGTGTATCTGCTTTAATAAAAATGTTGCTGTAAAAGATTAAATATAATATAGATTACTATGTTTAATATACAGTAATTAACATTACTTTTGGAATATAATATTTATATTAACTAGGTGGTAGGAAGAAAAAAATCTATTAGATGTTAAAAGCGTATGTAATTTACAATCATTTCAACTGCACTTAGAATACCCAAATCAAAACAGATGTTCCTTGTTCTTCTTTTCTCCACTGCAGCCATGTCTGTTAGGCCTAATAAACCCAGCCTCTATTTAAACAATTCCAATGACAGAGGAAAGGGTTAGAAACTACCATTAATTGCATTAACATGCATACCTATTTAGTTAACACTTGTTGAATGTGTATGGTGTATCTGTGAGGATACAATGGTAAATGAGGCTGACATGGAATTTGACCTTCTAGTGGAAGGAAGGCAGGCAGACAAATGAACATTTGAGATAATTCCATGAGAGATGAATAATTTGAATAGTGTGTTGGGTCTAGTTCTACTTTCAGATGCATAGGACAAATCACATCCCTCCACCACATGACAGACCTTCCTATATAATTGACAACTACATATCTCCTTTTAAGAGTCTCTGTTCCAGAATAACCACAGTTCCTGTCATACTACCCACACTTCTCAGAAGGCTTTTTGAAATCTTGAGTTCTTTATTTTAGTCCTATTAAATGTTCAGGTTATTAACTTTAGTTTATATATTAAATTTGGAGATCATTTTAAATGATTCCTTATCAGGCCATGCAACATATTAATCCTCTCAGTGCCCTCTTGGTCAGAGAAGTTACAAGTATGCATTTTAAATTTTAATCTAAACTATAGACAGAAGTATCTAGCACTACAGGGAGTTAGTAGACCTTTTACCAATTACATTAGTACTTTGGGATCAACCAGATATGAATTCTACTTACTGTATTATTAACTAGTAATGAAATAATGCATTCTAGAATTTTCCAGGATTTAATGCCAATCTTATTGGACTCTACATTCAAGGCCACTTGGCTGTCATTTTTTTCTTTTTTTAAATTTAAGCATTTTTCTGATCCTAGTATTAATATCACCAGCTTTAGATTTTTACATTAAATTTTTAACACATAAATTTTTTCAACAGACATTTATTGTTTATTGAAAACAAATTACTGAGGTGGCATACTAGTAGTTAAAGGAGAATTTGAAAGTTTTAAAAAATACGTTGGGATTGAATTTATCTGATCGTAGATTTTCCTCATGAGCTAGTTGTTTGCAACATATTTTCAAAGATATGTTGAAAGATATGTTCAAACCCCTCAGCTTGCCAAGTGGGTGCACTCTAGGACCATGATCCCAGCAAGGTGGCTGTGCTGAGACTATGAACGACACAAGACTCACCTCCAACTTGGCATCCAGATCTGCATCAGAGGCAACGACATGCTCATCTTCCTTCTTCCCTGTGGCTTTAATAAAGGCCTGCTTTGTCTCCCAATACTTCTGCTGCATCTTATTTACAACGGACTTATCCTGACCATAGCGATCCTGTAAGTCCCAGGGATAACTGCTAAAAAACATTTATAAAGAGCTAATTTATTGATGACTTTCATTAAGACTAGTGTGAATAAATTTATCCAAACATGTACAATATCAATAAACATGAGTACTTTCTTATATGATTACAATACACCAAAAAAGTTAATTAATACTAATTTATCCTAAAACCTTAAAAAATTGGTAAAGAAATTAAGCAAATTTCGCAGGAAATTGAGAAACTAAACCTTGTAAAGTTCAGATATCAACAGGTTAGACATACTACTTCTATTTTTTTTTTAAGATTTATTTATTTGTTTATTTATACAAGAACCAGGGTACAGGCCAGATGCACCAGGGGGTGAGAGGATTCATCAGAGACAGAGTGGGTAACAGAATAGGCAAACTGACGAAATACACTGCTGAGGGGAGCAGCGGGCGAGACAGGAGAGGTCTGCCATGCCATGTGGGATTCTCACTGGCTAGCCGGGCTTGAACCCGCACTGCAGAGGCTGCGGACAGCTTTACAGTGAGGCACTCAACGCCTTCGCCACTAGGGAGGCCCCACACTTCTTTTAGAAGACAGGAAGTGAGGGCAAGTCAGGGAGGGTGACTGGCTTAGCACACTAGCAAGTTGCAGATAAAGTCAGAGACCAGGGTTCTTTCCACTCCAGCCTTATGGCCATCACTGAAGTGATGGCAGAAAAGTAGAGATAAGGGGCTGAAAAATAGCATAACTAAAATCTGTTACAGAAATACCTAAAATAGCCTAACTCACAAAATCAGAGTGGAATTGTGGACAACAGAGACTGGAAGGGGAGCAGGAAATGAGAAATTGCTAATGAATGGGAACAAGTTTCAAGCATGTAAGAGGAATAGGTTCTAGAAATCTGCAGTCTAACACTGTGCTTATAGCTAACAATGCCGTATTGCACACTAAGAATTTGGTTAAGCGAGTAGATCTCATGTTAGCTATTCTTGCCACAGTAAAAATAAAATTTTAAAAAAGAATACATTTTTAAATGGTACAGATTCTGAGAGGAAAACTTCAAATCCTTAGGTGTTTAAAATACAGACAGGAAGCTATATTTCAGGAAGCAGAGCACAGTGAAGATCATATCAAAAAGTATCTAAATCTCTTACTAGGTAATGTGTATGTTATATTTTATATGTCCAGGGCTTCTTGCTATGATGTTTTCCAACATCATACTCTAATAAGTTTTCCAACTTTTTCCATAATAAGTCTGAAAATCACAAGAGTGAGTGCACTTAAAGATTTGAAAGTTGTATTTCAAGTATTTATGTATAAAGATAATGAGTATAGTTACATTAACTTAGTCAAGTACAATCTTCTATTTCATATGATAAGTTTGGTTTTAAAAATAGCTGAAAAACATATCAACAATCAGCAAAAGTGCTATTTATAGATAAGGCTGGGATGAGGTGGTTTTTTTCCTCTTTCAAAATTTGAAGAGCTAATATTTCTTTGAGAAGTGCTTATAATCATCATTTGGTACATGTGCCTGACCAGAGTGTCATTATGTCTGATTTTTTTCTCCCTTCCTTCCCCTTTCAATTTAGAAGAACACAGTAATCTAGATTATATATTTCATTTTTAATTGACTGAGAATTCAAATTTTGTGCAGTTGAAAATGTGTGATATGACATAATCATGCCTTATTTCTGCACATAACTCCCTGTACTGTATTGGAAATGTTTGTTTTTAGTAAATACTATTTAACAATGTCTGTGAAAGTTTATTTATTCAAAATAAAGGTTCTTAGTGGTCTGAGTGAAAAAAATATATAAAGGAGAAATTAGAAAAAAATGGGAATAAAGTAGAATTCTGTAAAAGTGACCAGAGTACCCAAATATTGACAGAAAGCTTGCCAGTGGTGTTTCATCCCTCCCTATTGTCTACACCCTCCATCTTATCTAGATTTCCTGCTCCAAAGGCCCACACAGGACCCTAGATATCTCCCCTTAGCAACATGTGCCTTCTTCCATCTCATCTGCAAACTGGCCACTCAAAATGTGTTGGGCTTGTGTGCTAAAATAAAAGTTGCTTTCTACTGTTATATCACAATACTTGTATCTCAGAACTTGAAGATTTATACTCTCCTTCCTGATAACACTTAAAATCTGACTTCCTTGGCAATTCTTCACAGAGAAGTAGGACTTATGGTACTTTTATGGTTTCTGCATTGTATAAAGGTTTTACTATGAGCTTACATAAGAGAAAATAGAATGAAAATTTGTATAACTTTTATATAAATTATAATCTCTCTAGTGAGTGCATATAAAAATTGGAAGGATACACTCCTGCAAAGTGTGGATATTTTAAGGGAATTGAATTTTTGAGAGTGGGAAATAGATTTCTGTTTTGTATATCTTTCTTTGTCAAAGGTTATAGATTAACAGGAAAAAAAATTTAATTTTTAAATGAAGGGGGACTTTAAAGATCTAATGAACTCACCTCACCCTATCATTTAACAAATGAAGGCTCTTGGGTGTCAAAAGGTTAAGAATCTTGTCCTAAGTCACAGAGGATTAAAATCTGGTCTCTAAGCCCCATCATATTGCTGATTTCAATAGTCTCTGCAGCCCTTACATTTTAGCACCAAGCAGTGACGTGACAGAGTAAATAGAAGAAGGTTCCACTTCTTGAGGTTCTCCATTCTCTTTTGGTGGGTGGCTATCTACTGCTCCCAGGATATAACAGTCATTATGAGGGTCATAGACGAGAGCCGTCTCCTTGACTTAATGAGGCAAAGTGGAGCAATTAAACCAGCCTGACAACTCTTAGAGAGCTGTCAAATGGGGATACTTAGGGAAACTAAATCCCTAAGCCATTTATTAATTACCTTTTTAAACTCATTACATTTTAAGTTATGCAAAAATTCTTTTGAAGTTTGGCATTTGATATTATAGAGGTCTTGAACTTGATAGCTTCTCTACCAAGACAGGAGGGATTAATAAAGTATATTTCTTATTCCTTAATGTAATTAATGGTACATTTGAAAAGTAAAAACATACACATTTGCTCATGATACAAAAATTAGAGAGGTAAAACATGACAAAGATCTGCTTGCCTAGGGCCTCCCTGGTGGCGCAAGGGGTCAAGCACCACACTATGAAGCAATCCTCAGCCTCTGCAGCATGAGTTCGATCCCCGGCAGGCCAGGGAGCAATCCACATGGTGCAGCAGACCTCTCCTGACTCACCCGCTGCTCCCCTCAGCAGTGTACTTCAGTCAATCTGCCTGTTCTGTTCCCCTCTCTGTCTCTGGTGAATCCTCTCACTCCCTGCATCTCTGGCCTGTACCCCAGTTCTTGTATGCATGAATAAATAAATCTTTGGGAAAAAAAAGATCTGCTTGCCTAGTGACTCATGGGTTCAAAAGTGTTCAGAAACACTGCTTAAAGTAGACCTGGGATTTATAAGAGATTTAATCTACTACTGATCTTTTATTTAAGGGACACAAATAACAGTGCCATGTGAATACCACAGCTATCTCATTCAGCATCTTCTGCTTCTAACCAAGATCAGCTCCTGAATGTTCATGAAGGTTGAAGTTATGACTAGAAATTAATGAATCTGAGCTCATTACACCTGCCCTACATAAAATTCCCTTTTTAACCTTAACATTAAAATTGTAAGCAAGATAATGATTTTAAAAAAATACATCAAGCCATCACATGTGAAAAAAAATGGTGATAAGAAATTAGATTCCATTCCAATGAGAAAACTGAGAAATACAATAGTTGAAACTGCAATTTTATGGCCTGGATTTTAATCCTATGTGACTTTAGGCAAAATTCTTAATCTGTTGAAACCTAAGTTCTTCATTTGTTAAAAGATGAAGGTAACACATGTTCACTAGATCTCTATAAATTCTAAATAGGATACTGATCAAAAACGTATATTCTATTACATTTGAAAAAAATGGTAACAGGAAAAATCACCACTACATTCCAAAAATTTATATACATAAGTTAATTTTTTATAAACTATACTTGGGTAAGAATTTACAGTATTTTTTGTCACTTGGTTTTCATATTACATTTAGCAGTGATATTCAATTTGAGTATATTCAACATTGAAAAGGGAGGAATAACAGGTTTTTTGATGCTAGTGTAACATTTGATTTTTCCACTCAAAAGACGTTTATTGAGCATATACTATGTGCTTTTCTCTTTCATTAACCTCTCCCAATTTAGAAAAGATATGAAATTACTTACCATTTGTGTCCTGACATGTTTTCTTCTTCTTTTTCTATTGCTGATGATTTGGGGAGAAGGGACAGGGAAAAAGCATGAGAAGATAAGTTATATTATAACCTGAAATAAAACAAATGTTTAAAATTACACACTATATTTCAATTATGTTAATTTGACACATAAGATATTTCAACCTAAGCCAATTCTATTTATATTTCAGAGACCAAACATTATTAAACGGTAACACTATACACCGGTGTTGACAATAGTTGAAATATGCTAATGAGGCAGGTTGAATAAAAAAACAGGTTATAGATGACTATATAAAATAGGAGACAAGAAGAAGCAAAAGCAATTCTATATACTGTTGAAGCATACAAATATTACAGAGTGATGTTTAAAAAAATTACTTAGGAATGGTGAACACTAAGTTACCTCTTTAAGGGCAGGTATGGGGTATCTGTTGGAGGGGTATATAGGGGCTTCAGCTGTGCCTGTAATGTTCTTTGTTAAGCTAATATACTAGTGAGTATATTGCATTGGATGTCTCTTTATAAATCTGATATTTCATAATCATTATTTCTAAAGAATAAAATAGCATGCTGAAAAACCAGAAACAAACAAAAAAGATTTGACAGGTTAAATAACATACCCAAAAGTGCGTGAAAAAATTTGAAAAGATGTGATTCACAGTTTTACTGGCCTAATGTTAATCTACTTTCATCTCATTAATATTTATGCCTTTGTCCTTTACTCCATTTACCCCAGTCAGAGAAGCCAGTCAACCACCAGGGCAGAGCCAACCAACCCAACTACTTGTCTACTGGGTGCTAAAAAGGATGGAGAACTCTCCACCTAAAGGATGATGTTGGGCCAGACACAGACTGACAGAGCCACAGGGAACACTCAGCATCTGATCACTGGACAAATTAATCCCATTCTTCTCCCTTTACCGGCACTGGCAACCAATAACCCTAAAAAATTACAGTTTATCTTTTTTGATTGCTGAATAGTATTCCATTGTGTATATATACCACATCTTCTTGATCCAGTAATTTTTTGGGGGCATTTGGGTTGTTTTCAGCTTTTACCTATTGTAAATAGTGCTCCAATAAACATAGGAGTACAGGTATCCTTTTGAATTAATGTTTTTGTATCCTTTGGGTAGATCCTTAGGTGTGGAATTGCTGGGTCATATGGTAGCTCCATTTGCAGTAACATGGATGGAGCTAGAAGGAATTATGCTCAGTGAAAAAAGTCAGAAGAAAAAGAAAAATATTGGATGGTTTCACTTATAGCGGGAAGATAGGGGGACCAAATAAGACATCAGAGGAAAAAATGGTAACAGTACAAAACACAACAAAACAAAACAAAAACAGAGAGACATTCATAAACCAGAGACATCCTGCAGGGGAGGAGGAGGGAGAGAGATCAGAGAGAAGGAGGGAGAAGCACAGGGAACTGTGGTGATGGTACACGGGTGAATTGGTGAAGGAAATTCTATGGGGACTACACCTGAAAGGAGGGTAAAAGAAAGCAAACAATTGTTTAAAAATGAACAATGATGGGGCCTCCCTGGTGGCGCAAGGGGTTAAGACACAATCTATGAAGCTATCAGCAGCCACTGCAGCACTAGTTCGATCCCCAGCCAGGGAGCTACCCACATGGCACAGCAGACCTCTCCTGACTCAACCGCTGCTCCCCTCAGCAGTGTATTTCAGTCAGTCTGCCTGTTCTGTTCCCTACTCCGTCTCTGGTGAATCCTTTCACCCCCCCCCACACCTCTGGCCTGTACCCCAATTCTTGTGTGCATAAATAAATAAATATTTTTTAAAAATGAACAATGATGTAAATATATATATATATATATAAATTTAAAAAAGATGACACAGTAACACTATGTAAGCTTTCAAAAATATTTCAAAGGAACTAAATTGAGTTGCTGAAATCCTGGGTTACAGGTATAGGGACAGCAAGAGGAAGAAAGGAAATGTCTTAAAATGTGCTGGGCCTCTGAAATGACAGCATGTCCCTTTCTCTGGAAGGCATCCAGCTTTTTAGATAAGTTTCTTTGGGAATGACAGTCATGATGAGTAAGGCTTGCCCTCTACTCAGTAAATTGAGGAAAGGCCACAGATTGGAATCTGTCCTCTCAGCAACCACAGAACTTTACTCCAAGTACACATTTACTTTAGCTTAAAGTTTCCAACAAAATTTCTCATAAAAAGATTCTCCTTCCTTACTGAAGGAAATTAAATTATAAAACTTTCCTTGATTTTCATTTCACCATGAACTATTAGAATAGTTGATACCATCTGATTAATTTTTTATTTCGGTACAAACAACACAAATTTGTCCTCTTCATGTTTTGAGTATACAGTACTATTAACTATATGTATAGTATTTGCAACAGATCTCCAGAACTTTCTCATCTGGTATAACTGAAACTCGATCCATTGAACAATTTCCTATTTCCTCCTCCTCACAGGCCCTGGCAACAATCATTCTACTTCTGTTTCTGCAAGTTTGACAATTAGATAGTGATATATCAGTAGGAAAATCACACAGTATTAGTCTTTTTTTGTGGTTGGTTTATTTCACTCAGCAGTATATCCTCAAGTTTCATCTACGTTGCAACATATGCCAGGTTTTCTTTTTTCTCTTAAGGCTGTATAATAGTCTATAGTCTGTGTAGAGTACATTTTTTGTACACAGTGACCCACTGATTGGGATATAGGTTGCTTTCACATCTCGACTACTGTGAATCATGCCGAACATGGATGTGCAAATATTTCTTTGATTCTGTAATAAATCCAAAAGTAGGACTCTAGGTGATATGGTAGTTCCATTTTTATGAATACACTTCTTTTCCCTACAGCAAGTGTACCATTTTACAATCCAACCAACAGTACTCAAGGCACTAATCTTTCCATATCCTCCCAAACACTTGTTATTTTTTGTTTTGTTTTGTTTTGTTTTTTAATAGCAGCCATACTGTTTGTGAAGGGATATCTCTTTGTGATTTTTAATTTGCATTTCCCTGATCATTAGTGATGTAGAGCATCTTTTTATATGCTTATTGGCCTTTTGTATAACTTCTTTGGAGAAATGCCTACTCAGTTCCTCTGTCCATGTTTAAATTGGATTGTTTGGATTTTTCTGGCAATTGCATTGTAGAATTGTCTGGATATTAACCACTTATCTAATATATGGTTTGTGAATATTTTCTCCCATTTGGCAGGTTTCACTGTTGTTTCCTTTGCTGTGACTTTTTGACCAACTTTTTATTATTAAAATAACCACAAAAAATTGCTGAGCAATTTTCTTCCTAGACTTCCAGGCTAGTCTCAAATGATAATGCCACATGACAGTGTTTCTCAAGGTATTGTTTACAGACCTTTGGAATCTTCCACAATGTTAGCAAGCAGATTCCTGGGTCCCATCACTTGCCAGAATCTCTGGGAATGAGCCTGGGAATCTGCATTTGTAACAGGCTTTGCAAGTAATTCTTAAACAGTCAAGTCTGAGTACCACAGCTAAAAGCACACAGGAAACAATTCTTTCTGGAAATGGATCTTTCTGGAACAAGATTCTACATTATAAGGCCCAAGAGCAAAGAAACTATAGGTGGCCAAAATCAGGTCAACTTTACTGTGCACATCAGGTCTCATGAGAATATAATTGTACCCAGGGCTTGTATCTCTTATTTTATGTTCCAGATCCATACTCCAGGGACAATTAATACACATTTTAAGGGCCTCCCCAGTGGGGCAGCGGGTTGAGCACCGCACTGTGAAGCTGTCTGCAGACTCTGCAGTGCAGGTTCGATTCCCGGCCGGCCAGGGAGAAACCTACATGGCGTGGCAGACCTCTCCTGTCTTGCCCGCTGCTTCCCTCAGCAGTGTATTTCAGTCAGTCTGCCTATTCTGTTCCCCTGCTGTCTCTGGTGTATCCTTTCACCCTCCCGTGCCTCTGACCTGTACCCCAGTTCTTGTATAAATAAATAAATCTTTAAAAAAAATAAACATTTTAAGATTTTCTGACATAATCCATTCATTTTGCTTAATCACTTTCTAAATCCAGTGTCAAAACCAATCTTAAAAAACCATTATAATTCTCCATTAATTCATTTCAGTTCAATAGTTTCATCAAACATTCATTGATCATCAAATTAATACATGTCAAACATTGTCCCTAGCCTCAAGGAACTCATAGTCTTGATCAGCTCTTTCCAATAGAATATATATGTAATGTAAAGTTATGTAATTGTTATGTTAAAAGGGGAAAAGAAACAGTGAATTTTAATATTTCACTTAACCAATACAGCTAACATTATTTTAATAGCATTCATGTTTTTGTATCAAATCTGTATATTTTATGCTGCTATGTATTTTTATACTCAATTGAGATTAGCCATATTAAGTACATATTGTTCATATTCGGTTAGTGACTACAATATTGGACTGTACAGTTTAAGGAAGACAGACCTAAAAACATAATTTCCAAATGTAGGAGACTCAATTATTTGCAAGGAACTTATAAAAAGATCTTTGTGAATTTCCTAAATTTGAAGATCCTGATGTTAAAATATACCCCCGTAAAATTATTTGGCTTCCCCGGTGGCACAGCGGTTGAGCGCTGGGTTGCAAAGCTGCCCTCAGCCTTTGCAGCGCCGGTTTGATCCCCGGCTGCTCCCCGGCCACCGGAGGAGGGTCCCACATGGCGCACAGACCTCTCCTGCCGCCTGCTGCTCCCCTCAGCAGTGTACTTCATCAGTCTGCCTGCTCTGCTCCCTGCTCTGGCTCTGGTGAATTCTCTCACGCTCCCGCGCTTCTGACTGTACCCAGTGCTTGTATAAATAAATAAATAAATAAATAAACAAACAAACAAATAAATAAATAAATCTTTAAACAAAAAAAAAGAAGTAAGTTTATGATTAGCTAATATTTTAATTCACAATTCTGTGAAGGAAGCTATTTCTCCACTTTTGCCACAAGGCACGTATGAAACAAACTCAAAATTAATAGTATCATGTCTTGAGCTTGCTAATAATACAGAAAAGACTTCCAAAGCTGTGCTTATGGCCATCCTATCTTGAGAGCTAAGCAAAGAAGAGCAAA